AAACAACATATATTATAAAAGCAACATTTATTAAGAGCAAAATATATATATATATAAAAGATATATAAAAATGTATATATTTGGTCTATTAACAGTCAAAGAAATGTATCAATACCGTAAGTTTACAAGTTCCAAAGTGACATCTGAAAATTGCTGGTTTTGTGTGATCGACAGTCTACATGTATAAAAGAGGAAAAGAACTGAGACAAGATGCAGGAACCAGAAAGTTATGGAATACTTTCATTATCAATCATCATTAGTAATGTGTTAATTTCCTTTCCAAAGTCGTGCTGTCCTTGATCCTTCAGGAGGATCTTAAAAATAAGCATACATCTGAACACATAGATAAAGATTTTAGTTTAAAGTTTTAATTCACAAGCAGTCATTGATCCAACAAGAATCTTCCACCACTTTGGAGCATGTACTCAACTCGTCTTTGTCCAGTATGACTGATTTCCTGCTCAAATATCATCAATATATTGTTTTTATTCATTTTAATCTCTATAGATGCTCTGAAAGACACACTGGGCTTGCAGCTGGTCGGCCCTTTTGAAATTCTGGCAGGCGCTCACAAAACCTCCAAGAATCCTCAGCCCAACTTCCACCTTCACTGGAGGTATTTTTATGACCCACCAGAGTTTCAGACCATCCTCCTGGGGAGTGAGGACAGTCAGCATCACATCGGGTACTACAGGTATGTAGAACACACAACTTATTGCTCTCTGCAGTTGTTAAGATGCTGAGCCAGTGTAAGTGCTTTATTACAATGCTGTAACGTTTCCTAGTGACCCTAGCCTACTAACTGTAACTTTCCAAAAATCCACCAGAGATACTCCAGACTCCCTTCCTTCGTTTGTCGCGGAAAATGAAGCCAAGAAAGGCTACGCTATCACACAGATGGGAGACAACGTGTTTGCTGCTGTCCTGTGAGTACTTAAGACCACATAGTCACCAAACATGAACTTGTGATTACTTTCAGCTGTCTGGTTAGGAAAGAAAGAAAAAATGTTAAATAATAATCACACAATATGACTTGTAGAGGGAATCCATCTGGTATTGGTTGTTGTGTTTAAATTTTGTAGTATATGATCAAACTACAACAAGTTGAGTACAGGGATACTGCATTTAATGCTTGCTTAGATCAGTGACCAAAAAAAGTTCCTCCCTATTATTATGATAATCGGCGTTATTGTGTGTCTTCACATAACTGAACACGACTTCTTTCTCCTTCCCTGCATGTCACATCACCTACTGTTGCTCCCCTCCCATCAGGCTGTATCTGTTGAAGAGGAGGAAAGAGAGGGGCAGTAAGAAAGCAGGGGGAGAAGCTTTGGAAAGCTTGGAGACGCAGCTAAGAGACAGGGCAGAGTTGCTGGGCTTGTCTCTAGAGCAGAAGACCAAAGGCATGAAGCAGAGGGACAAGAAGGTAACTTACACAATGGCGCAAACAGTGGTTCTTATCTAAAGTCGATTTGTTCATAACTCTCCTAATTTCTACCTCATGTGTTCCTTTGTCCCTAGGGTTGCAAATTCAAACCACTACAATGTATCAATTCAGTACTATGTACAGATTTAACATCTACATCTACAAGGAAACATGTGGAATAGAGTCTATATTGGTTTTAAGGAACCTCCATGGTACAATATAAACTGTATTGGACACATTGCCAACCCCACCACATCAAAAAAAAATCATTTGACAAAATGTTGGTAAATAATTTGGTTAAAAGTAGTTGTGGTCATATATTACAAAACAAAAATGTGTACCAAATTGTGCTCCAAGTTGACACTAGTAGGTAATGGGAAACCTCTTGCTACATTATAGGTGGTCACCAAGACGTTCCACGGTGCCGGCATCGTTGTACCTGTAGACAAGAATGATGTAGGATACAGAGAACTACCAGAAACAGATGGTGAGCTTATAAACCGTGTATTTATCGTAATCCCTTTGTTCACGGCTTTGCCACTTTTCTCATCTGATTCCTTCCCCCAGATTGAAACAAATTTTTGATATGAGCTCATTTGTTTCTGTAGACTCGTAATGTATTTTCTCATTACGAAAAAAACATTGAATTACAATGAGCCTGTTGTGTTATAAATGTATTAAAATCCAATTGTGTATAAACTAGGAGTGATGGCTTTGATATTTATTTTTCCTTTTTATCCAGCTGGTCTCAAAAAGATTTGCAAGGCAATCGCTGAAGCCCGGAACGATGAAGAGCGCGTCAAAGCCTTTGGACCTATTCAGGAGATGATCACGTTTGTTCAGTTTGCCAACGATGAGTGTGATTACGGCATGGGTTATGAGCTAGGAATAGACCTCTTCTGTTATGGATCCCATGTGAGTGTCATAAAGTGGTGCATAAAAGCCCTTCAACACTCACACTCAGATTTGACTTTATTACACCCACTGTTTTTCTAAACCCTGGTCATTTTCTTAAATATACTGCATTAAACCAAATACATGTTTTGGTGAATGAATTGAATGGCTCCAAATTTGTATTCATGTTTGGGATTTACAAGCCCAAACGTTTTGGAACCACTGAAAGGAATGCATTATTAATCTTTGGCTTCCTCACTCTTCCCAGTATTTCCACAAGGTTATCAAGCAACTCCTGCCCATGGCCTACAGTTTGCTGAAAAGGAATTTGTTTGGGGAAATTCTGGAGGCCCACCTCTCCAGTCGCAGCCATGACGACCTGGACCAGTTCTCTGCACAATAAAAGAAATAATAAAAAAAGACTCAGAAGTACACTTAAGTTCTAGCTCTTATAAGCTTTTCTCCACCATTTGTCCTTGTCCCCTGTTGTTTGTCCATTGTTATTGTTTCTTGGTGGTTTTGGTGCTGCTGTCATTGATTGGAACCAGTTCAATGATATCTTGTTTGTAAAAGGTAGATGTCTAATAAAGTATTTTTATATATTTACCCGTCCAATTTTTGTATCCATTGTGATCTCAATGAATCATTAAAGTCATGAGTATATTGCCATTGTTTATACATAACCTTGCACTTTTAGATAATCAAGGCAGGATATATTTTACAATTACTGAACCAATGCCATAATAAGTAATCTTATAAAGCATGGACAGGGTTGGGTTTTAAGTGCATTACCATGCAGTGGATACAGAGGGCAGTGTTGCATATACAAAAATTAGTGAAATATGTATCCCTGAGTCATCATGTCCCATTAAGATCAATTCAGCAGTTAGCAATTATTCCCACCGATGGGTAAGAGCTTTACAAGGAACAACATTCAGCTTGTGGCTATAGATTCTACAGTCCTGTATTCAGTCTCTCTGAACTGGTTACTATTGATATGGGACTTAAATATGGTCATGCTGTATAAAAAAAAAAAATCGCAATAACAGAATAAGCGGTGAGTTACAGCATACAGGAAACAACAGAGCCCTCAGGAACATCACCAGATTAACCAGTGCAGTACACAACTCACCATAGATATTCCCAGATTTTGATATAAAAACTACATCATTTTGGAAAATCAATATGAACTAAAATAATAAAGATATAATAAACAGTCTGACACAGGCCACAAGATTACATAATAATAGAGGAGCCAGTTGATATTGTACTTGAGTGGCACAACTGTGTAAGGTACCATCAAATAAGCAACTGGCACACAGTGAACTGAGAGCTTTTGGCCCCTGAAGTTCCTGGCCACTGGGTAGTTCCCTACTTTGCCTGGTTGGTTATCCAGCCTTCTTCAGGAAGTTTTTGGGGGTAACAAGTAAAATCCTGAGCTGGGATCATCTAGGGCAAGTACTGCTAATTGTTATATTTTAAAATATAAGATAAAACAAACCTTTACTGGTTCCCATAGTGGAAAATTAAGGTGCTGCAGCAGCACATTGACAGAAATAAGTACATATAAATAAAGATAAA